CCAAAAAAAGGGGGGGGGGGGGAACCTTCCAGTTGTTCTCATTGGCCTCTTGTCAGTGCTTCAAATTTACAAAATAAGATGTAACAACAGAGTGCTGTCAAAGTCAAACAAGACTTCACTTCATTTTCCAAGCTAATTGTGAGACATAGCAAAAATATTGCAGGAAGCGATGTGGAATTTTTTTCTTCTGGAAACAAAGCCCCCCAGTTCCAGTAACTACTTTTAGTTTTAGTTAGATTTTTATGGCACTTGCAACACAAATAGATCAAGTAAATGCCGAAGATTGGAGAGGTGTTACTGGAGAGTTACTTACAAAAAAAAAGGAGGAGGAGGATAAGGACTAAAGATGTTTGATAGGAAAGAAGGAGCAAATCACACTAGAGCACCCCCAACCACTCACATACTGAACCTAGTTTGCAGTCAGATCTTGTGCACTGTTCGGAAAGCAGACATTTTCTTTTCTTTCTTTTTTTAAAGCTTTTTTTAATGCCAGAGACTTGATTTTGATTGTAACGGATTAGTTTCAGAATCTGAGGCATAATGATTTCATTCAGGAAGGTTTTTGAACATCAGTGGCTAATGAATTGTGAAATTGTAATGATTAAATGCTCCTTCCAACACTTGTGTTACACCTTTATGGTTATTTAAGAGACATGACTTCCGAATTCAATGTTCACTATACAGAATCAAACGGAAAAATATTAAATATATTGGAAGTTTGTTTCAAAAGTCAAATTAGATACAAGAGGGATGAAATCATGCAGAATGGTATTTTACGGGTTTAGGCTTGCCTTCTTAGATGTGAATCTTCTACATGATGCCCCCACAAATATAAGCAAAATAAAAATACACAAGACACAACTATACCATGCAAAGATAGTGTCACTGTTGAATTAATTACAAGTCTCTCTCCATATGTACATCAAACTATCTTAAGTATTTTTGTGGTGGTGTTGATTCAACAATTGTACAGGCTAGGGGATTGACATCTGTTGGGTCAGTTAGGTGTTTTGCTGACGCCTGCAGGAGACCAGAGTTCAATTCCAAAGTGGGGAGAATTCTAATTGAGTATGTCAGTTTTTCTGCTTGGATTTTGTTGCCTTCTCAGACCGGTTTGGTTCTGACATGCAGGGTCGAAGTTCGCCACCTGAATGATCTAAATTGTGTTGATAGGGGTGTAAAAAAGCACCTACACCTCTACAGCTTGGTAGAGAGGCGTACATCATTAAAAACATTATGATTAAAACAAAGTTGTTTCATGATAAATTTGTAGGAAGTTCACTTTTATTATGCTTAAAATCCCATAAACAAATTTAGAAATGCAATATATGCTGAATGTGTTGGGATTGGGTATACAGACTTCTTTTGCTATGATTTTTTTTTTTTTCGTTTATATTTTTCTTTTAATAAATACAGATACAACCGACTGGAGCAAATACGGAAGATGAGATGGGAGTTTGGAAGTGTGTTACCGTCTGATGTCAGGTACAACATGTGTGAACAGGAGGTAGGTCTATAAAGAACTCATGATTTATGTGTGCAAAATTGTTGTACTTTCGAGAAAATCAATCAATTAATTTAGTTAGTTTTGTACATTTTGTGCAAGAGGTATGTTTCTCTGAAAAATTTGAACTGAGATCAGTTTGTCACACTTTGTGTTTTTAAAAGCTTCATTTCCACTTGTGGATGTGTGTAGCTTGCCGGTTTCTCTCTAGACTCGAGCAGTTCTAACTACTCTAGACTTACTGTGCCTGAACTGCAACAGTGAACAGCTACTTTTTCTTTGCTGATAATTACCATCGTCATTTTCCTCTACTTCTTTTATATGTTTGTCACTCTTGTGACCGGCTATTCCCGGGGTGCCTTGATAGTCGAAGCAGACCTTGTGCTGTTGAAGCTAGAGAGGTGAGCAGAGTAAGCCTGATTCCCTGTAAGGACTTCTCTATTGACATCCGCCCCTTGGCGCTCATATGACCTTATGCTGTTGCGAGCGTCGTAAAACCTCTACTAAAACAATAACTACTCTAGAAACCCCATATGATTTGGTGCCCTCTGTGATTGTCGCTCTCCAACTAGGTCTGTCAGAGGCTAAGCTCTTCCATGTCATGGGATCAATGTTTAAGTCCTTCCGAGACATTTTCAGGGTGTCTTTAAAGATGTGATCTTCACAGTGTGTCTTATCAAGCTGTTGCATACTTCTGTGTTCCTTTGGAAAATTCAAACCCATTGTAATTGCCTTTACTTTTTAGAGAATGGCTTTGGTTGAACAAGATTCACAAATGCAATTGAATGTTCTGAGGAAGCTATATGGACAGAAAGGTAGTGTTGATTATATCTTTATGAAGGACTTTGGACCCACGCTTTGGGGTGTGGGTGCTTTGCACATAATAACAAACATTGGTTGAAACTTCTTCTTCTTTTTCTTCCTCTTCTTCTTCCTCTTCTTCTTCTTCCTCCTCCTCCTCCTCTTCCTCCTCCTCCTCTTCCTCCTCCTCCTCCTCCTCCTCCTTCTTCTTCTCACTCGTACTACTGCCATCACGACTATTATTTTTATCATTTTCATAACCCTACAGGTTCAATGGTTTACTCAATACAATCGTCAACTAGCCAACTACATGAAGACAATAGGTGAAAGTGGAGGCTTGGATCTTACTCAGGATATGAAACCACCCAAGACTCTCTATGTTCTGGTAAATTCAAATATTATAATTATCTCGTGGGCATTAGATAAATTGTTGATATGTTATGCTTCCCTCATCTCAGTTTACATAATTATGGACAGAGCCACAGAGGCTGTGACCTTGTCTATCAGCTTCAACTCAGACTCTCTCTCTCTTTCTCTCCTCTGGCGCTGTGGCGTCATAAGCGGTCAGTGATGGCGACAGCACGCAGAAACTCAACACTTGCTCAGGGGTCCTTAAAAAATGCTGAACGTGGGTCACTGAAATGTCACAGCACATGTGTTGTGGCATGATAGTTCACGGGACATTTCAGGAACATGTGGTCCAGTCTCCTCCTCCTCCCTGCAGGCTCAACAGGACAGATGTGTGTAGTCCGCTGGCGCAATTTTGTGTATATATGATTTCAGCTTGGGCGATTATCTACCAGTTCTCATTAACTCAGACTGGTACTCAATGGAGTAGAATTCGGCAGGGGGAGATTGTGTATGATTATTTCTAGAAAAAGAATAAGGTTAGTAAAGTACTCGTGTTTTCATGTGACAAATTTCTCACCCTCACCCTCATTGATGTCCTGGTTTTTAATAAAAGAAGCCACTAACCACTTATTGTGAGTGTAGGATTTGAGTGTATTTGTATAGCTATTTCAGTTGTTGTTGTAGTTGGACAGCCGCTTTATGTGACATTTTGGAAATATAATGGGATTGCAAAGAACAGTTTCCAGAGGAAATATATAAAGAAAGAGACCAGCTTAGTGCATGACAATTTTGTGCAAGTCAGATTGGCTTGGAGAGTTATGACATGGCCACCCCAGCCCTGGTACAATAATTAACAACACCAGTGTCCCCACCCCCACCTACCGCTGTTCCCCCAATTCATGCAAGTTTCTATCCTGTACACATAACAATGGGACTTTACCAGGAACTTCCTTTTTCTTAGGATTTCTGGTTGTATGAATTATTGACATGTCCAGGTTTTGTGGAACTTTTTGTTTATTGTTTTTAATTTTGAAACTTCATAGAATCTAAGTTAAAAGTTTTCTCTTGTTTATACTGTAAATAATATCTTCTATTTTGAGTTTAGGATGTATTGCAATTTCATCTATGTGGAGTGACCATTTTTATATGGATTTTGCTGGAAAATGTTTTCCCACATTTTTCTTTATCTCTACTTAGGTAAGGTGCATTATGGATCACGGGGAGTTTGAAACACAGGATGGAAACATTATCTTGCTGAAGAAAAATAGTCAGGTAAGTATCGTTTTCAATATACTGGTTTACTGGTGACAGCTGTTATGAGGAAAGAAAAGGATACAATACTTCATGAAAAAATTCTTTTTAGACATTTATATCATGGAATATAAAAAGGAATATGCGTTACCTGATACAAAGACAACACTGAACTCCTACAAACACACTATTGCTGATCAACCCATGTAGTTTGGATCTGAGCAAGGAGTGCATACAAATGATTAGCGGATGTTGTCCAACACCCAATATTTTTATGTGCATAGCTTATTTTTGATAGCTCTGATTTCTGTGCTTGTCTCTTGTCTCTTCGCTAATGCAGGCGTTTTCGTGGTTGTTTATGAGTTTCATACCTCGGTGCCGGCTCATAGTTGATTTTAAAAAAAATCAAAATTGTATGTGTTTAGTCACCATGTATAAAAGTATTCAAAAGAAATGCTTTTAGGTTACAGGTTAGCAACATCATCTCATCTTTATATAACAACTTTCACAATTGCCACAGAGTAGTGGGATACTATCATCAGGAGTTTTGTTTCATCATTTTCGGGTACCAGATTTGAAATGGACATTGGCAGTCAATGTTGTCACCCGTAATGTTCAAATTAAAGCTTTTTGATAGTTAATAACATTTCATATCATCTTTAAACATATTTTTTACTGTTTTCACATGCTTTCTCATATAGACATATTTCTTCTCTCTGTTTTCAGCACTACCTTCTGAGGTCTGAGTGTGAGCACCTGATCAGGCAAGGGATTCTGGAACATTTAGTGCACTAACGTCTGACTGTGGAGATCATGGATTGGTGAGAGTTGAGGCTGTGACGTGTTTTTTTCACTACCATGACGATGGAAAGGTGCTTCTTCTCCGAAAGTTTCATGAATGTGGGAAATATGGGAAGTTCCAGGTTGTTGGTTTTAGCATGAGATGCCAATTTTGTCCTTTGTGAATATATTGTCAACATTTCCGTTTGTGGACATTCTGTTATCTCAATAACCCGGGACTTATTTTTCATATTTTGACATTTTTACCAGATCTCCTGAAATATGTGTCAGGGTATGCATGCAAAAAAAATCACGAATTGCCTAGAAATGATCCCGCACACAAAAATTATACATCGAATTAAAGATAAATTGATTACAATGATAATCATTCATCTAGCCCCATTAGATATGGAAATACATGACACATGAAAAGATTTTGTGGAAAGAAGTGAGAGGTCAAAGAGTAAGAATTATCTTTCAGACACAACACTCACACCCATCTCCATGACAAGATGATGAATCCCCCTCAGGTAGCTGGTCAGCTGTTTGTGGGGAAGGTCATCCAGTATAATTCAGTTGAGAGTAAACAGTTGGGCACAGCTTTTGTATTTTATAATAAAATTCAGGAACTTGCACAATTATCATATTTTGAAAATAAAAAAAAATATTGATGAAATGAAGGAAAAGCTGCATGTTACACTGTTTATACCTTACTTCTCGCGAGCTACCACAAACACTGGTGGAGGAACATTTAGAGATCTGCACGAGTGTGCCAGATCTTGGAGAAGTCCTTTGGGTGGAGTGGGGTTGACCCTGGCTCCCTTACAGAAGCTGGATCACTTCTTTTCCTCTGATGTGCTGCAGACTTGGCTCTGAAAGTCAACTCCAAGGTAGGCAATCATGTTCTTTGTGCCAGCGAAACTTTCCACACCGCAGTTCTTTTGTGAGGTGATGGTATGAGGCGTGACGGTGATGTCATCTGCAGCGGCAGTGAGCTGCTCAATAAGGCTGAGCTTGAGTGATGGCAGACTGAGGTCATGCCTTCTGGCCTGGTGAGGCTGCACAGCCTGTCAGCGTTGTGGCATGGGGTCTCAATGATCCAACAATGCAACTTTTTCCACTATTTCCTGCTTTTGCAACAAAAGAAATGGAGTCTTATGCAGTTGCAAGCGCCGTAAAACTCTTACTAAAATAAACAAAAAATGGAGTAGGATCCAACCATTTGATCTATCTTGTCACAGCTGTACATTCGCTTGTTGTACGAGTTGATGATGGATGACTTCATCTTCTCCTTTCTTGTTACATCTCCTACATCTCCTTCCTGTGTTTTACTTGATACCATCAGTATTGGTTTGCTGGTCTTCTTGTCTTGCCATTAATGATAAAGTGGTTGAACTTTTTGATGGTCTTCACTTTAAAAAAAGATGATGCGAGGTGACTTGCCCAGTCGAATGTTGAGATGGAACTCGGGCCATTTTCTGTGCCGACAAGAAGGGCTTTGTTCATAACAAATCTTTCCTTATCCTTTCTGAGCTTTGTGAGTTGAAGTGTGAAGTATAATTGGTTGACTTTTTTTCTGGGTACTCTTCACTTCTTTTCAATTTATAATGAACTGGACCTGTGTGAATGAAGTGATCTTAAAATGTGACGCATGTTTGTTATAAGTGTAATATTAATTGTGAATTTGTAGAATTTTGTTCTTTTGTGTAAAAGCCAAAGTTTGTTGAATTGCAATTTGTAAAAAAAAAATGGAAGAAAAGGTTTATGGTTGTTCATGAAAGTTATGTGAGAAAAGTATGTAATGTTCTATGTCTTCAACCAGTTATGATTTTCAATAAATGTTTTTGACTCATGATACACCCCTGTCTTGGCTATGGATTACCTTGTTGTTTTGTCATTTGCCTATTCTGAGAAAACTGTATTATTGAGTGGCAATTTACTTGTTAGTATGAAACACACAAAAAAGCGATTTGACATAGCTGTGTTCACTCAGTAGGGTCTTTCAACGCTATCGGTACACCCTGGGGTCATTTTGTTCCCCCGGGGTTGTATTTTTCAGTTTAGAATACTTATACTTATAGTACGAAGATCTCTTTGAAACTCAGTATTTCTCAAAAAATCATTTTGACAGACTGCTATGCAAAGCTTACGGATTGGATTATAGAGTAAATTTCCTCTTTGGAAAGTGGTGGCACAGAGTTCCCCACGTCGAATGGATACGATAGTAAAACACGACGTACGGATAGGGTTAAAGATAGTTGGTTTGGTAATTAAGACTGTTCGAGTTTTCTCCTCTTGAGGTATGGAGATATGGCTATTCATTTGCTTACTCACACTCACAGCAGACTGCAACTCAGCATGCTGTAGACCTTTGAGTATAAACATATCATGACCTCAGTGCTTTCTTGTCCGATCTCCATTTTTAATAGCAGTGAAAACGGTTCAGAACAAAGAGTGAGCTTAAGAAAAAGTCACATTTTCAATGTTTAAAAAAAATGGAGATAAGACAAGAAAGCACAGAGGTTGCGATGTGCTGTATAGTCAAATTATTTATTGTGCATCTCAAATTATGTCTGGTCAACTTCAATGAGACTAAGATATGTTGTACTAGCGAAAGGATCATAAAGATGAGGTCCAAAAAAGTTTCATGGGTAAAGAAAGCAGTATTGATAAATTAGTAGTGGGTATTCTATGTAATAAAAGTGATCCCATTGGTTAATCATTAGTTAGTGTATGTCAATGTGATCCCTGGCTATACTATAACAGGGTCTGACTATAGCAGGGACATCATGTCACTCTCAACAGTCTTGTATAGTGCTGTCAAAAATTTGTGGTGCGACTTATTGTCAAATATCTCCTCAACTATCAAACATAAGTCCTCCAATTTTTGCATAATTTCTTGTATCAATTTGTCTTAAAAGATCAACACTTTTGTAAACACCTGCTAGCTGTATTCTAGAAAATTCCTTAATAAAATAAAAAATCCAAGTGGGTGGTGTCTACAGATTTTTAAATGTTTACAGCTGGGGCAATAGAATCTATCGCTTTTCATAGCAAGTCCATCATGTTTTTCAAATCGGGACATTCTGCTTATTGAACGTACGTTTTGAGAATAATTAGTGCAATAAATGTGTTTACTATAAAAATAATTTTTTGTAACAAGTTTTGCAAGTAAAAATTGCCATTGATGAGATGTGACGTAAGCGTAATCAAAATGTGTGTGGGAACTGTAAACAAAACGATTTTACGTATGGAAGAGATTTCAAGTATTTTATACAAATTTATGAAGAAAAGTTTTTTAATCTAGCCCTAATTGTTCTGGAAAAATATGATTTGGTAAGACAAATTGATAAAAACTGTTGAGCAAAGTATGGATGACATTGATTCATCCGTTAAAGAGATTATATTCAAGGATAAGCTGTGCTTCGAATTTTTTAGCGCAGTGTTGGTGGCAACCACTGTGTCTATTTCAGTTTTCTTTTACCTGAAGTGTTCCATAATAAGTTGCTTACATATGAAGTCGGAACACAGTTACGTTGACTGTTGCCAAGATGTGTTCAGGTGACTTTCATGCGATGGAGAAGTTAAGGTGAATTACAAGAGAAGTTTATGCCGTTTATAAAAAAAGGCATTTTATATTTTAAAACCTTTTTAATTACGACTCTATCTCAAGATTGAGTTTGAGGTTTTCCTTCTTGAAAACATGTAGCCAAATTTCCCCAACAGTTTATTTTCAAGATTTATTTAACTTAATGTCTGAAGAAGATCTGATATGCTGCAAATTTCAGCATCAAAACTTTTCCCACGTCCAGAAAGTTCTTCACAACCTATAGGCAACATAAATGTCCAGCAACATTGAAGAGAAACTGAAAAGATTTTTGGCTAGCCAACATTTTCCAGTAGTATGCCACTGCTAAAAACATTGAGGCAGTGTCTCTTTCCTAACTGACTGGGAATCTAAATGTAAAGTTATGATGAGAGTTCAACAAATGCTCCAAACAAGTTGTAAGTTTGTCAAAAATACTTTATTTGCAAAAGTTATATAATTCAACATTTACAAGCTCGTGCCCAGTAAGCTTATATATAGAGGCCTATACCAAATTTGCCACGCCGATCAATGACAATTCAGGCATCACGCATAAAAAATGTAATGGGGATAGAGTGGCATAACTTGTGCTAGTACATTTAAAGAGAATCATACAATATTGGAAGGAGAATGTTAAAATATGTGATATCAAAGTCAAAGACATTGCCTTCTGAAGCAATTTAGAAACCCAGATGTTTACAGTCAGACGAGAGAACATGTCAACCCATGAAACAAAATTATCTAAAGTGCCATTAGCGTTGTTTTAGAAAAGCCACAGTTAAAAACTAGGGCTTCTTGGGCTCTGTTACTCTTTCTAATTCTCCTCCTTGCTTTTAAAAAAATGAGAGATCCATCATTAAAAGGGTATAATTCAGTGCAGTATGTAATGTACATTATATTGTTTTATTTCCTAAATTTTGTCACTTTAGACAAATTTGCTTTCAAGGGTCAATCCAATATGTAATTTTCCTCGTCCAAAATCTTAGCACCAGGTTGTTCCTGGCAGCTGTCCTTCTTCGAATAGATTATAAGTAGACACAAATTTACCCTCTTTTATTAGAGGACCTTGATAGATGAGAGAAACTGGGGGAAAAAATTGTCACTATGACATCTCATGTAGTGATTGCATTGACTGCGTTGACAGTTTGGTCCCTTTCTTGTACCCACGTTCAGCGATGTCTTGCTCCCTTTACTCTTCTGATTAAAGGAAAATTAGCAGTTTATTCATATTTCCTAAGTAAAGTAAAGTTTCTTTTTATCGTTATCAATGCTACTTGGATGTAACTGGATGCCTATAATCAGGTCAGGACAGGTATGTTGTGCCCATCTTGCAATCACATTTTAGAGTTTCATATGTGTGAGCTCATAACATTTGAAACTACTGCTCAAACAGAGCAGTCGCCATAAAGCTCATTTTTCTTGGAGAACATTAAAATGTGGACTACTTTAACTTCAGTTTGCTTTTGGGTTTTTTGATGGGAAGGATGGGGAATAAGAATCAACATGTAGATGGGAACGTTTGTCAGCAGCGAGGAGAAGAAAGAATCAAATCATTTCCCCACCTGTTAATACATAAAAGTTTTTTTGATAACGATAATTCTTGTGCTTTCAGTCATATGTGGTGCATGGTGTGAGAGCTTCTGTGGAATTGGCATTTTCATTTTAAAAAGAGCTGTTAAGCTACATGAAATTGTGAAGTGAAATAAAAATTACCCACATGCTTCATGATTTTTCAACTCTGGATGTGGTCACCGGAATGCTTTCATTATCAAGGCAAATGGTGAGAAAATGTGATGAAACAGGATGGAAAGCACACAGGACTAACTCATGAAAAGGCAGACAAAGAAAAAGCTCCAAACTAAAAATGGTGAAACAATCATGTGTGTTATCTCTGTCTGGTCTCTTTGGACACATCATTTTACCACCTCAGCACACACATTCTTGCATCATTAACACTCATTTCGAGAGAGCCTATCATCCACGAAAATTGACATACTCAAACATAATACTCTACTCCCACATTTTGTATACCATCTAATATTTTCTGTACTTTAATTCAGCTCATCCTTTTCATCTCAGCTCTTCTCTTTCAACGTCAATATTTCTTTCTATTACACTAATACTCTCCTTTCATATTTTTCAAAAGAAACAAAACATCTTTTTTTTCTTTGCCTATACGAGCAAATCTCTTACACCTCTCATGGCACTGTGGCAAAACTTTGTTTTGACTTTCATAATTCACTCATCTTCAATCAGATTCGTCAAGCTCTTACTGTAAATTGTTTTAAATCTCATCTCTCCACGATAAATTTGTATTAAGATTTAAAAACCTCTTTCTAGTTACAATGTATTTTTTCCGAGCCCTTTGCACACTGTATTTCTTTTCCCATTTGATTTTGATCTTATTTTTCACAGAAATTATTTCGATTTTTTGCATTCCATATTCATTTGAGGTGGAAGTGCAATTACATTCTTAACACCCCTCTGAGTAACTATTATATTCAAACTTTTCTACTACACAGAATTCCCTTAAAGCCTGCCCAAATAATGTAACTACTAGTACTCCCACACTTCTCCTGTGGCTATAAGATCATGAAAAAAATAAAATCTTCACATGACAGTAAATGCAAGGGTTCACTCAAGTACATGTATCAGAAAGAAAAAAAAAATGCAGTGACTGAAAGGAAGCACTAGGATGGAGTTACCTAAACAGTGAATTATTATTCATATAAAATCTCGAGACCCATTTTTGCAACATTGTCAGATGAGATAGTGCTTCTGGCAGAAAAAGTGTAGCCTGAGATCAAAAATACATTTCCCCCCCACACAATTCACACAATTACAGAGACAGCATTCATGAGCAACACTCTGCTTGTTCAATGTTATTCTAATGCCAAGTCCAAGCAACAACATCAATGTCACGAAGGTTAGTGAATGTTTATCATACAGTAAAAATCTAATCTACTGCGTCCGTTAGGGCTGCAAAATAAATCTTTTCATATTTCTTGAACAAGCAAGGAAATGTGCTCTTGATGACTAAGACAATTGAAATTGTGAACAACTTTGTATTCTCCTCAGTCTCTTTAGTTGTTTAGCCTGCTGCACAACATGATGCAATTCAATTCAAATTGATGGAAAATCTCAAGGTACATTCTTGTTTTCCCTTGAACTGGAAATTAGAGACCATATGGTAAAGAAAAATATTGCAGATGTTTTATGTCCCCATCGACATGATCTAGCCCATTTAGAAAGTAGGCTGCTTTGACCCTGCCTGTAATAGCCAGCCCAGGCTGAGAGGAACACAGCGTTCCAGCAGACAGACAAAAGATACCCAATAAAACAAACCTCCCTACACAGCAAAGAAACTTACGTCTTCTGCATGTGATGGTGAAGCACCTGACTATTACGCCAAATATGATGGTGAAAATGTTATTACCAAAGAACTCATGAATACCACAAAAATATGGTGAAAAATGACACGTAGTGTAGGTCGCACTACGTTAAAAGATCATATCTTCTAAAGAAAGCAAAATATATATTTCATAGGACATAACTTTTTCTTACTAAAAATTCTAAACAAATGGTCAGATTTACTCACAAATAGGTATGTTTCTTTCACTGTCGGTTGAATCTCATTTTAAAGTGATTTCTACTGCAGTATTTCAATCAATCACGATTACTTGACAACTATAACCAAATAACACTATATCTTTCGTAACTGATGAGAGCACAAAAAGTACTACCTTCTGACAGTAGACATACAAAGTTCCAGACTTGTTTTGGCTGGTTGCATACATACACAACAACAAGAAACTTAAAATGTTCTCTATAACAAACGAGGTCATAAATGGTGACAACACTTCACAAAGTTGTTACCATATATATTGGACATGAAAGCTTATAGTGGAACTCCCAATTTATTCGCTGTTCAACAACAGCAGTGCACCCAAAGAATATAAAAAGACAATCAAGAGTACCACTCATTTTCATTCAGTTGCGGTAGGAAAGACATTTGATTTTTTTTTTTTTTCAAAACAAGGACTTATTCCTTCAAAGTTGTCGTTGCTGTCGTACAAAGATCGCAATATAATGTTAAACAGGTCGGAGCATGTGCATAAGTTTGTGAGATCACAGATGGATGATAAGTAACAGATGAGGGTAACAATCGTCCAGTTACCAAATGACCAAATATTTCAATTCTCTAAATGCTGGCAGCAAAGTAGAGCACAGCCACGGTAAAAAAAAATAATTCACACAACCATTGAGTCAAGCTTCAGAAGCCAGTATGGGCGATATCCAAGAATAATTTCATACGCGTGAAATATTGAGTCGCAAGTTCACGAATAGAAGCATGAAAATACACTCCACATGCTGTCATTGTTAAATTGCAGTAACCATTCCACACAGTGGCATCTATCACTTTCTCTTGAACAACAGAGGAAATGTCAAGCAATAAGTCCCAAACAGGGTAGGAAAAACAGCAGCAAGAGGCACAGGCTTTCAGTATATGTGAGACAAGCCAACAAGTACATTAAGTCTTACTGGTCTCCATATTCAACACCGTAGCACTAGGAAACACCGTGGGGGCAAAAACATTACAGTATGGAAGTGAGATGGTGAAGGAAAAAAAGATGCTCATATAAAATGACAAAAATATGTATGTTGTCACAAGCACTTGCTGACATAATACTATTGTAATCTATATTTCAAAATCCTTTCCAAGTTTCCGTCTGCTCTAGGACCCAGGGCTTACAATATTAAGCACCTAGTCTTCAACGATGTGGACGAAAAATCTGGGGTCTCGTGTGAGTGAAGCTCATCAAGACACCGCGGGATGTTTAAAATTCAAAGAAGAGTAGGCCTTCCTGGACAAAAAGCAAAACTAATTTTAACAACATTTTGGTGAGATCAACCAAAATATTAGTTCCAAATCAGTATAAGGCTGTCAAGAGGGAACCAAATTGTTCTTTAAGTATAAGAAAAACAAACAGTGCATAACAATCAGCTGAACAGAGGACTGAAGAACTTACAGTTCTTTATCTCAGGCTCTAGAGGGAGAGCAAAGAAAACAAATTAAGGATGATTTCAGAAGAACCCTGACATAAAGATCCATAGAGTAATAATTAATTTCTTTCGAAGCTTCAAAACTGCAGCCACGCTCAACAGCCACGTCATGGTTCTACAACTGATATGAAATTTTTTTAATCCCCAACTAAAGTTTACACTTCATCTCCATAAAAATTCGAAAATGTGAGTGTGACTTTCTCCAATGTTCAGCTTATCACATGTTATACCCTTCATGTCACTACTGATATTGGAGTGTCGGCGAAAACGCTCACCAGAGTAAGTGAAATGCAAGTTCCCCCCCCCCCCTTCCCCCTGGTAAGACAAGAGATCACAAGTTTCATAATGTGGATAATACAACAGAAAAAACACAGTGACTGGTGAAGGATTAACATTGAAAGCATACGCATCAACCACCTGCTTTTTGCCCTGACTGCTCCACCATTCTAATACCTCCTTTGCAACATACTGATTGACAGTTCCTCAAATGACACAAGGTATTAATAATACGCAGCATTTGGTATGCAACACTAAATCCATCCATTGTAAAAAAAACACCTTCTAAAGTATCTACACATTTCTCTCACTATAACTCTAACCGTGGAGTATGATGATGGCAAGCAATACTAAAGGCACAAAATGGCATTGCATGATTGATAAAATTCAAGTTTTTTGACAAAATATTATGAGGTGCAAAATTTCAACAGGAAAAGAGGGAAAAACAAAAACAAGTTCACTTCACAAGCGCAAGCAACCATCAACGTTTCATCCTATTTTGCATTGGCAACATTTCTGCAAAGGATCTACGCATTTGATATTGCACATTTGATTTGCTTTCATAACACAAACATTTGTTTTGTCAGTAAAAAAAAAAAAAAAAACTTTACAAAGAAGAGCTATGGAGCCAGTGAATGCTCCCTGCTTGAGTGGTCAGGAGAGCGTCAAGGCCACAACACAGCATCGAACACATCAGATATACAGTGGGCCCACAGCATTCACGGGGGGTCATAAGTTGAAAGGTTAAGTCATTGAGTTTGCTCATTTAGGTCACTCGACACAGTTCGAAGACTTGTTGTATTGCGGCACTTTTTCTGAAACTCAAAAAGGCAGGCAACCAAATGGCATCTTTGAAATAAGCCAGTTAGTGTTACTAGTCTATGCATGACGGTTCAAAATATCCTGCAATACTGCCTTTGGTCCGCTGCTGATCAGACCTACGTGTCCGCTACGTTCTAAAAGAGTTAAACAGCGCCACAACAAGTCTTCAAAACAAAATGTAGGCCTGTCTCATTTTGAGCCCTTTTCTCAGTTTTTCTCCTGTTGCATCAGCCACTTGCCCCCTAGTCCAACCGGTGAAACATTTTGAAAACTTATCCCCAGTGGTGTATATACTAGGGCCCACTTCATTTGACAAGCAGTTATTACTGTCAGAGTTAGAGGCAGCAAACGATCGGTGAGAAAAAAGTATATGATTCTCCATTCCACCAGAAATTAGTACTTTGATACACCCTGATATAAATCCAGCACATTTGCTACCAAAAAGCAAATGCACCAGTAAGCAGTTAAACATCTCGAATAAATTTACAAAACCAGAGTAAGCCATAAATTAAGAACCAATGATATGAAAACCAGTACATGATATTAACGACTTTGTACATTTCATGAATTGTCAAAATTAGTAATAAGTGAATATTGGCAGTACTATTTTATTTTAGGAAATGCTAAAATGTGAAGAGTATTTTAAAAGGTAGGTATAAGTCTAACAAAATAAGGAAACAGGAATCTTTTCACCTTTTTCATCGTCGCAACTCTCAGTTTCTGAGCAGTGTTGGACCCAAGCAATAATCTTAACTATTGCGTTGCATGAATTTTGGAAAGGAGAGTAAACTAAACACAGTGAGAAGCACTGCATTAAAATATACTACACAGACACTGCCCTCTCTTTTCTGAAGTATCTCAAAATATTTGAAAATTCCACCCACTTTAGAATATGGTTTCCATCTTTAAAGCTTACCAAAACTTCTTATGTACAATGCTCAAAATAGTGTAGGTGGTCAGAAGATATAAAACACAAATCTTTAGGACACTGACAGTGGAACAGGCCCTGAGAACAACTATTTGAGGTTTTTCTCCAGAGAGCCTAACAGTTCCCAAAAATAGGATGTTTTTTTCAATGTAGAAGTAGCAGCCTCACAACAAACTATGCATTCTTCACAAATATTAAAAGCTATTAACACAACCATTTGCACATACCATACAAAATTTTCACAACAGCAAGGTGGCTTTCTCTAACACTGCCAAGATATTTAACAAATTTGATCTTTCAGAGCCACGAAGCAAACTTACACATTCATCTTATCCAGCTTCTCCCTGATCAAATGGACAATTTCTTGGCTTAAGTCGCGAGACAGTTGATCTACCAGAGGCTGAAGCATCTCCTTTGCTGAAGAAAGCAGAACAGTATGCTCGCCAGCAGACAGAGAGCTAACCTGACTTTTTCTGGGCTCATCCCCATGATTGGCTGAAACTGTGTCGGTTTCCGATGGTTGGAATGTGTCCTTGTACAAACCCTGAGAAGGGGGTGACGATGATGACAGCGATGCTTTGGATGATGATGAGGTTGACAGGGAGGATTCACACAGGGTGTTCTGTTGAGAGTCCCCATTCGTTAGTGGTGAGCCGGGGGACTTTGCCACAATCTCCATGATGACTGAGTTGGCCTCCTGAACCGCAGAGCCAAGCATGCCAAGGATCTCCTGTGAGGTCTCATCTGATTTATCCTCCACCTGTCAATCAAAAGAACCCTAAAGTGTAAGTTCTTTTGTTTTCGTAAGCGCTTTATGGTACTTGTAACAAAATCAGGTCGTATAAGTGCCGGAGATTAGAGGTGTTACAGTGGAGTAACAAATACTAAAAGAAGGAGGAAAGTTTTTTAGTTTTAGTAAGAGTTTGACGGCACTAGCAACACAATAAGGTCATATAAGTGCCAAAGATTAAAGGTGTTACAAGAGAGTAACAAACATAAAAAAGAAGGAGGAAAGATCAGGACGATAGATGTTTGATAGGAAAAAAGGAGCAAACCACACCAGAGCACCTGTAAACCACCTGCAAATTGTAAGTTCAAATTCCAATTGAAGGGAAGCAGATGAAAAAATCACATGAAATTTTTTTTAGGACAAATGAAACAATCCCACTTAAATCGGGTTTAATTCAAAAGAATTAAAATTTATGTGACAATAAATTCAGTTCTCAAAGAAAAGACAACTCAGTAGCGGTACAGAGGGGCCACTCACCTGGGTAGAGAAGGATGAGGGCTGTAAGTTAGGAGTACTATCTTCAAGAGAAAGCATGCAAGAGACCCCATGATACCTAATTTTGTTTGCCAACAAGTTCCACTTTATGTTTTTAAAAACTCCTATCTCCAGGCCACATACTGCTATAATCAACATTGCATCCTTTATTATATGCCAAGCACCTCTAATGTATCACTTAACACTGCTTCGTTTGTTTGTTTGTTTTTGTAAAGTGTTTTACGGCGCTCGCAACTGCATAAGACACTGCTTCTTCTTACAGCCATGTTGCCCACATAAAACTAATGCACTTCACAAAGCACTACATTCCCATCACTGCTCCTCCTGAAGGGAATGTATTCATCTACAAGACCACAGATTGGGGAATTGTTCTTGAATAAAGAGAAGCACATGGACACAATAATGGTAATTTAGTGTAATGATAAAACAAGATAGACAGCCAGAGACTACAGAGGGGAAAGGAAAGAGAAGTAGACCAACCAGTGGAGGCTAAAACAGCACCTGGAAATGGATGGCTGGTGCCTCTATAAATAAATTATTGATGGTCAGGACCAACCAGTGGCACCATACCACCAATAGGGAAAAATTGAGCCTTGAGCCCTCACAAACGGTGGCGGGGGGGGGGGAAGGAAATATTCACCATGAGCAGGTCTGCATCCAGCAAAACGTCGATAAACAGATACCGTACCACATACACAGGAAAGAGTTTAGCTCATAACATTACATTACCTGGGAGAAGAGATCCTTGAGTTTCTGTAACTGAGATCTGAAATCCGCCAAGAATGTTTGACATTGGCTGATGGAAGCTGAGGATGGAATAAGTGAAACATTTATTATCTTTACATACAATATACATGTACAATATTACAAAATGAAAAAGTTAATTAACTGCTTTGAGCCATTTACAACAAAATATCATACTTTAAGCATTTTTATAATGTGGGAGTATGCAGTCTTTGTCAATGAAAAAAGCATACCCTTGTGACAACACCGGCGAACAAAGGTGGAGTAAATTTTACAAGAGAAGTGAAAACTTACATAATTTGGTTTCATCAAAGAGCAACCTGAAAGCCTGTAGGTTGTTTGGCTTTATTTCTAAACTTTTAATAGCATTTCTAGTCACAAGTCAGACCTGTCTTTCACTGAACATATGAAACAGATAATTTGCAATTGATTCATCAAATAAATAAAAATTTGACGTTTTTGGGTAAGCTAGTCTTATCATAAGGGCGACATATTAAATGATATTATTGCGCCATAAAAATTTCACCTGTTAGAAAAACCAGACTATGAGAGACATGATTCTCAACCAAAGTCACAAATTCAACATGGTCAGGAGAAGTACAAAAAAAAGATTGAAAGTTTCCTGCCTTAGGGGATCTAGTGTAGGCATCAAAGGAAGAAATAAACTAACATCAAGATTAATCCTGCATATCATTTTCATCTATTTCCAAACAGTTTTCCTGATTCATTGGTATTTTGGGGTTGTTGTTTTTTTTTTTGAAACATAACAATTACTACCATGTTGGCACATTTTCTAAAAAATTTACAAATATCAGGCCCAAAATCAGGACACTGGATTTCTTTTTAAGTTATAAAAAAATCCAATCTTTAATTTTTAAAAAGTTGCGACCAAGAATTTACACTGTGGAATCTCTCCTCTATGTAGTGCGTGGTGCTGAGTGTGTATACCCTGAACTAAAATTATTGTTAAAAAAATGTAAATCATTCACTCTTGAAAGATACATCTCATGGTGTCTTTTACAATCAAATAACACACAAAACACTGACTGTTTGTGGATGAAACTTGACCAGATGAGTGAGTGGACTGCAGGGACAGAGCCAAACGGGAGCGGTCACCTGGCTGGGAGGGGCTCGACTCGTGCACGCCAGGTCTGAAAATCACAACAAAGATCAGATTTTATTTTTCCTCCGATGGAAAAACACTTTTCTTTCAAATTTCAAATGGTTCTGAGCTCTGAGTAAAGAGAAGTATGTTGACATAATAGTGGTCATTAAGAGCGGAGGAAAAATAAGAGACTGACAGAAATGACAGAGGAGTTGTTTGTTTGTGTGCATAAAGAGAAGCACACTGACACAACGGTCAGTGAGTACAGGGAAAAAGTAAGACAGACAGACAGACAGACAGAAACAGCAGAAGGACAAAAAAGAAATAGGGCCAAGTAGCACTCTCCAACCACCTGATATGACAGAGAAAAAGGGACTCACTACATAAGGGCTGAATAGAGTCATAGTCTATGACCAATTAGCAAAATAGTGACCATATATAATTATAACTCACTTGGACACAGATCAAGACAATAGTACTATGCAAATAGAAGTACAAGGAACAGATTATATTCAAGCACCCACCAGCCAACACCTGCCCGGTTTATCTAATGCCAAATAAGACAAAGACGTTAAAATGAACAGAGCAAAGAAATGCAAAGACAAAGGACTCATCACACAAACATGAATGCCAAACACTTGCAAAATGGAAGCTTAAGGAACAAATTTAAAACAACAAAAAGAAAAGGAAATTTCCAATGGACAATTACAATGATCCTCAAAATTTCAGAACTTGTGTAATTCCAAAGAGGTAGGAGTAGGAGAAAAACACCCAAACAATCCTGAAGAAAGTATAATTGTACGCAAACTTATCAATCTTAACAAGTCTCAATACATTATTTCTAACAATTTTGATCTCTTGAAAGAAATCCAATTATTGAAATTGGGGTTAGCGTAGAGAGCTTACTTTCTTAAAATTGCACATTCCCTGCAGAGGGAACATTGTTGAGACCCAGAAGAATTTAACTTTTGACAGAAAGTAGCGGAGCAAAACAATCAATATAAACCGACTTACTTCACTGTGATGGAGTACGTGGCCGTGTTGATCTGCGCTGCGGGAGTATCTGTGTCCGACGACTCTGACCCGAGGCCCGTGTCGGACTGGCTTGTGTTCTGTGGCGAGGACAACACGCCAGGAGATGCAGGCAGCACGCGACGATTCACAGATGACGACCCACCAATTTGAAGCCCTGGCGACCCAGACACATCTTTCGCAGCTTCCTTTTGATACATAGCGATTCGTTCGCGGATCGACCGTGGGTTTTCCTCTTCCTCTTCCTTTTCGAAAACGTCTCCCTCATTTTCCCCTGGTTGTCCCATAAAGAATGTAGTGTTGGCTGTAGATGTTCTTGAACCTAGTGAGTGGAATGCAGGCGAAGCAGAGGACATGGCAGGGTGACCGGGCGACGACGATGATGATGGTGGTTGAGGCTGTTGCAGTGACGATGACACTTGAGGTGGTTTTGGTGACGAGCGTTTTTGGTTTGGCGAGGGCTGGTCTCTCTCGGGGAGATCCAGAGGGCTGGCTTCCAGGTCTGTCGGTGGGTGTGAGAGGAGGCGGTCCGGGGAGAAGGAGCTGCTGCTCAGGTTGGCTTGTTTCTGATGCCTCAACATGTTGGCGGTGTGCTCGATTTCTTCGGCCACAGCTAGCTGGGCGGGTGTCGGGATCCCGTTACTGGCAGCGTCAAACACTGGCGGAGACTGGCCAGAAGTCAAGGTGGACACGGAGGACAAAGAAGACGAGGACTCCCGCGAGTCCCGCTGTGATGCCACCCGACCAGACGCCTGGAGAGAAGCAATGCCAACTGTCAAAGATGGATGAGAAGGAGCAATGACATTTTCAGCTTTACTACCACCAGCGCCAAGAATGCCCGACTTCCCTAGCAGAATGCTCTTGGCCTGGTCTAAAGTCATCTCTGACGTTGAAGATTTTCTTCGTGACTTGCCATCAGAAGAGGAATTCTTCCTGCCCTGAATGATCGGACGTACAGCACCAGTGGGAGGTGGCATGAGCTGTTTATCAGTCGGAGCCGTAGAAAATCTCATCTTGGACTGCACAAAACTCCCTGATCTCCGCGAGGTGGGCCGAGATGGGCCAGAGCCACAGGAGCTGCTGTCTGTACTAGAGTCCACCTCGTTAACATCAGGAACGCTTCGAGACAAGTCCGACAATAGTTTAAGGTTGGACGTGGAAACCAACTTGACCGCCATTTGGGGTTTGTCCTCGTCCTCATCCTCTGCATCATCATCTTCCATACCGGATATCAAATTCGGAGTCGAGGCATACATGGCTAATTTGGACCCCGGCAACCTCCCACTTCTCCTTGTCTTCTTGGCAGCCAAATCCTTCGCCTTACTGCTCGCATCAGCAGGCATGGAAGAAGACAAAATTCCATCTCCTGACTTGCTCACCTTATTTCGAGAACTCTGTGTGGTTTTGAAATACGTTGGCCGAGTACGCATCGTAGACTTGGTGGGAGTTCCCGAGTCACTGCTCGTGTTCCCGGCACTCTCTGCGTTAGCCCTAATCTCATTCGACTGTTCCGGTGTCCGGGAACTACTACTCCGGCGTCGTTCTCGTTCCTGGCTGATCCTCCGAGCCGTGACGCTGGAGATGATAGGTGGGGTCACATGGTTGCTGGCACCAACTGAACTAGAAGACAGGGGCGACTGCGACTTGGACAAAGGATCTTTCTGACTGTCTTTCAAGCGAGCTTGCAGTTCTGCACCTGAAATATTCAAAGAAGTAGCTCTTATTGAATGTAACATAAAATCAGCTGTATTCAAATTATCAAAGTCAGGTCTAATTTCATCAGTGTCAGTTCTTTTAGTACGCATATCCACAAATTGTATCATTGTTTATAGGACAAAAAACACTGTGTTTGTCTCTCAAACAAAAGCTCAAAACTTTATCCTGGGCTTGTGCCAGGATGATTAGGGGACAACTAGGGACTCTATTTCTTTAAGACCCCTCACTCTAAGGAAAGAAAGAATCCAACAGCTAAACTCTTGTGATAAAATCCAAAAAAAACTTTGATGTCCTGTCGTTCTCTTCAAGAGCTTAAAATTCCTTGGATAAGTTGAAAAGGAATAATCTGGTTTGTAGTAGCCATCTGCCCGGTAAAATAAAATTATCTTAGAGTAGGGATCTCCGAATTGAACGTCCATCTCCGATAGGATCGAGCCTGGTGAATTGAGAACCTTGAAAACTCCACAAAACAACCAAAGTTCAAGAATACCCAATCTGGGGTTTGATCAAGGGCCATCTGCTCCATAGTCCAGCATGATACCAACTGAGGGAATCGAGCCCCAAACTGCCTGGGGCAAACTTATTCTTGCTCAAAATAGAAGAGACTCGGGTCAATATAAATATTGAAAGAACCAAAGAAATCTGCATACGGCAACCTGTCAGGTGAGGAACAATATGTTCTCATGGAAAAAAGACCATATACATAAGAAAATGAGTTGCATCACGGGCTGAAGAACCAACAGTAACTATCCTTGAGACCTTCCTCGGGAACAAACAATAGGCAGAAGGAAGAAAAAAACAAAACGAAAAATAAGAACAATTCTCGATGGTCTTAAGGGTTAAGGCTGCAGTTTGAATGGGAGCAGCCATTCAAAGAAAAGAGGGGAAAAAATGAAACAGATTTAAAGAGGAAGATGACAGAATGAAGTATGCTCACAAAAATTAAAAGCTGATACAAAATCATCTACCTAAACCATCTAACAATCCAAACCAAGCTCAGAAAATTAATCAAATCTAAAAACGAAACTGCAGACCTGGAAAAGAAAAACAATCAAGGGACACAAATTTTACATATATCTGTTATTAAAGTTGATTCTTGTTCCAAAAACTACCAACCTGAATAAAAAAAGTGGGTTTATTTGGGGGTCTAATGTCCTTTTTGACAATTATAAAATACAAGTCTCTTTACAGAACTACCTTTATTTCAACCACAGAGGGTTTCAAGGAATACAAATTGTGTGAAAGGTCTAATCCAGAAAATATGAATAGATCCTGCAAAAAAAATATTTAATGATAGTTCAAGAGACTCGTCTTTACAAATGTCAAGATCAAAACATATAAGGCTATAGCTCTGAGTTCAACTAAACCTGATCAAACTAAAATTACAACCCATCAAAGCTGTACACTAGAATATCAGATACAATGGTCAATGAAAAACTCATAAATTCTACAATAAAAATTCTTTACTGCTCATTTGTCAAAGTTATTCTGATTTCATGCTCACATCAACATGAAGGCAAACCTTACAACACATTGGGGACAACATTAAAAACACAAATCCTGCTTAAAGAAAAGAGAAAAACAAATATTTAAAAGCCAGCTTATTTCCCGGTTCCATAACGCTGAGCAAAAAAGACAGACATTTCAAATTAACTCACACACTGCAAAGCCCTGGTCAAATCAAAGTAGCAAAAATGAATTAAACATTGTGAACCACACAAACTCATGCTCTGTACATTCCATGGACATTCAGGAGACCTGTGGACATTTTAAAAATCCGTTTAACAGTTGATTCAAACACTGACTACGAAACCATGCGGTCACCCCTATTTCTATAAACACCATTAAGTCTACTTCTAAGTTGTGCACTTAAGCATTAGTCACACCGACTTCTAAAGAAATCAGAAAGGATTGAAATGGCAGAGTAAAATAAAGTTGAAATTTTAAAAGTGGAACGGTCAGACATACATTGCATCACATTTCAGTGTTCAATATACGTATAAAACATACGTTACTTCAGTTTCAATGGGAGTGACTAGAAAGCCACCCTGAAGTCTGACAAACAATTTCTCATTTTATCATCACTTGACGTTCAACTGTTAATGAACACTGCAAGCTCTAATGAGTATTAAACTATCAAACATAATCAGACTGACACTATCACTGAAGTGGTCTAAACCAGTGCATTGAACCAATTAAACAAAAGCTTTTTATTGGTCACAACGGTAATGTCCTCGACTATCAAAGACAGGACAGACACATAATACCACCAATGTAATTCTATACTTGTGTAGACACAACAAACGGAAAGAAAAGAAAAAAAAAGAGTCACCCCTCATTTATCTGTTTTCAGCTAACATTCTTTATGGAAGTAAACAGGGTGTACACTTTCAGATTTATACCTATAATAACCATCGAGAATAATCGTCTCAAAAGCCACTGTGCTAAAAATGGATAAAAATAAGCACCCAAGCATAGCTGGCTTTAACCTCTATATATAAGAAATTTTTAAAAAACTGGGTTGTGGTGCTGAAAAAGTATTGAGGCTGAGAGCAGTGGTCTGCGTGAGGGAGCTTGGATGATTTAAAAAAAAAAAAAAATAGGTGAGAAAGTTTGGGAGTGAAGGCTTTTGGATAAGAATAAAATGTGTAAGAGGAATTGAAGCAGCAATGGATGAAAATGACATAACGTGGTTGAGGCTGTACTTTGACCACGGGAGGAGACTAAAATTAACGTGACTAGGAATTTCAGATGGGTTGGTAGATCCATGACCTCAGACGGGCTTTACAAAGGGGGAAAACTGCGAGATTAGTAGAGAAACAAAACAAAAAGTAAACAACCCACAATGACCAGCAGCAACAAAAAAGTAACATTGGCAACAAAATGTTTTCACTGAGAGTCGTTCCTCTCAGGGCACTGCTTAAGGGATGCACCGAGAATGGAACTTCACTGAAGTAAAAATGAAGCTGAACGTACATGCACTGATATCATTTGGCATTGGAATTTTTGTCTTTAAGACAAGATAATGTTTGTAATTTGCCTATCTGCACATTAATGTTCGCTATGAAAAATGAGCTCTCACCTTGCCCATTTTAGATCTGACTTATCTTCAACTGGGTGGAGAGCCATGAATACTATCACGAAAATCAAGCTCAAGAATACCACTATGGTGATTTAAATCAAGATTGCTCATTTTGCAGTTTAGCATATTACTGAATTAACAAAATTACTTTGCAGACTTGTAGCTCTTAGCCCCTTCACAGCCACAAAATTAAATAGAGGACTGCCAGGATGGAACGTGGTCAGTTTGTAAATTCACTGCTTCCAAAATGCTAATTTCTAACCACACGATACCGTAGAGCCACAGATATGCACAAGATGATAGAAAATAGTGTTGCTATTGCCCTGTGCAATTAATATGGCTATAATGATAATTCTCCTATGAACCATGCCAAAACTGCTTTCAAAAAAGGTCTCTGACTTACTCGTTTACATGGCAGTTTGATGATAAAATCTGGCAGAAGTGGTCTTAGATAAGGAATTACAGAAGTTGACAAAAAGTAGAAGTCAAATGAAGCAATCACATGAGTTTCAACTTTAACATCACAATCACATCAGTTTCAACTTTAATATGTCACATCGTGTGCACACACGATAAAAGAAATAACAAAACAGTAAAGCACACACTGGTTATTAAAAGAAACACATTTTCTTTCACTAAAGACTAGAAAATTTAGTTTTGTTGGTTTTTATCTAGGAGAAATGAAAGTTCCACATCATGCCAGGAGATGAGCACTTGGCTCTTTCTTTGTCAACAGGGTAGTTGATTGGTTGGAAGTCTGGACAAACATGCTGTGCACACCGATCAGCTCACGATAGGGAACTAAAGAGAGGATGGCAAAGCTGCGTGCACTGTTACCCTGTCCCCTTCGGCACGGCCGCGAGAGTGGGCTCCCCTTGCAGCTGCTATTCCGACTGGAAGAGCTCCCCTGACTTCTGCTACGAGACGTGTGGGCCGGTGCCTCCGCCCGGCTTTGTCGACGAGAGGCGGGACTGTTTGACCCTCCCGACGGTGTCACATTGGTGGACAGGTGGCTGGGAGAACTGACTCCTCCCTTACGTACTCGTGACGGACGTGGGGAGGAGCATGGCGTAGGAATACGGCTCTGATACAGCTGGTGAGGGGGGCGGGGCTGGTTGGGAGGTTTCAGCAGCCGTGGGTTGGGCTGGCAGCATGGACGTCTGACAGCCCGTGAGGAGTAGAGGCCGGGGATTTCTTCCTTGATAGATTCTTGCGACAGGCTGAAGGTTGACCACAGTCGTCGCAGGTTTTTCGAACAATAGCCCCATGGTGGGGATACAAAAACTGGAGGCAGTGGTGAGAATGTTATGTCTACATTTTGATGAGACAGATAACTGCTTTTTCACACTAACCATCTATCAGTACTTTATTTACTCACATGACTCAATTAAAATGAGCGATAAGTTATAGTGATAGAAGCCAAAAAGCTGCTCCCCTACCTAGTAACAATTGGCATCAATTTAGATTCTTTTTTTGGTATTCAGTAAACAATTTTTTTTTTAATACTTCAATTCGCCAAAAGCATGAAAACCTGACTTTGTAAGGGCAATTTCACACTCTTATTTAAAGCAACCAAAGTTTCATTTTTTATTAGGGAAATTACATGGTTACAGTTTCCATGAAACAGCATAACTATGCAAAGAAAATCAATATTACAAAAGCCAGTCATAAGTTTCATTAGTTTCTCTTCAATTACAACTGGGATTTTGATTATCCCTTCAAAAGTGAACAAAGACAAGCATGCCCCACCCTCCAGCCCCTTATCTTGTAGAACCTGGGCCCAAAACCTGTTTTCTGTATGAAAGATAGTACATGCACAAAAGTGCACAAACATCAAACATCAACCCCCCCCCCCCAAAAAGAGAGAGAGAGAGAAATATTTCCCCTGTGGAGTAAATTTGTTAAAAAACATGTCAGTAAAATCTCAGCATCCCATTGCAGACGACTTCACAGCAATCATCTCGGCAGTATTTTCATACAGGATTCTCACTTCTTTGGAGCAAAGTGCAGTCTCTTCCAGCAACAGTAGGCCACTTTAACAGGGACTCTGTGCAAATGTACACCGACTTAACAGAAACACACAGCTGATGGCAAACTCAAGCTGCAAGGAGACAGGCCATTGCACTCTTGAACCGAATATCTGGTACAAACAAGTCTATTACAGAAATAAACATTTTTCAAAACAAATAATCATACATACGTTCTAGTAAGGTCAAAGACAATCACAAAGTCTCTATGGTGTAGAACACAAAACATCTGCTATCACACACAGTTCTGACAGAGCAGTAAGCAACCTACAAAGAAGGCAGTCACTGCAACCACAGTATGGACATATCAAAGAAATATGTGAATGCAACGCAATGCCAGGAACTGCTGACTTCTTCTGTGCGGGAGAACATGACTACAGACTTTTTACTTCTGCAGACAAAAGAATAAAAGGTTAAAAACAGCGACTTACCAGTTGGAGGAGATGATGCAAAGGAACTGCTGGAAGCAAACTTGGATTCCTGTTGAAAGAAAAGAAATGAATTTTAAGATTTAAAAAATGACAAGAGAAATGAGTTCAAAGTACGTCTGTTGATTTTTAGTTTTTTAGTTTTAGTAAGAGTTTTATGACACTAGCAACACAATAAGGTCATATAAGTACCGAAGAATAGATTACAAGAGAGTAACATACACAAAAAAGAAGGAGAGGAGATAAGGATGACAGATGTCCGATAGGAAAGAAGAAGCAAGCCACACCGGAGCACCCACCAACCACCCACATCTGTTGATTAAGATTTCCAGTTGTTAAAAACCAACTGATTGTTTGAGTAAAGAGAAGCACACGACACAATAAAGGTCATTTAGCGGAGGGGAAAACTAAGACAGACAGAAACAACTGAGGGAAAGTAAAAAAGTAGAACCTACCAGTGATGCCCTTCACCTACTCGTTAAAAACGAACTGATTTCTCTCAATAGCAAATAATAATGTTCCCATCAAAAGGTGAAGCAGCATCAATTCCATATAACAAAATGTACTGAGTTAAAATAAGCTTAAATTTCACTGTTTTCCTACTTAAACAAAATAAAAACCTAAAGACTAACAAAAAGCTGGAAATTCAGAAACTTACTACAGTGGCTGCTGTCAGCATGATGAGAATAAAAGACACTGTTTATGAATCATAAGACGGATTGCTTAGCAAAAACTGTGTGACCTCACAATCAACCATTTTTTGACAAAAACTTCCGACAAAAATTCCCGAGCAAGAAGCCGTACGGAACAATAAAGTAATTCAGACAACATTGCAATCACAAGTATGTGGGACTATGAGATCAGACAAAACAAACTACGCGGCACATCTCATCATTCAACAGCTTTGAGCACCAAGACACATCAACACTAACCTCTTGCTCCAAACGTGTCGGGGGAGATGGTGGATCTTCTCTGTCCGGTGAGTCAGACTCGTTGGAATCACTGCGCAAGTTCATCTGAAACAAGAGACAAGCCATTAGACACATTTGGTATAACAAGACACCTGGCATTGTACATCTTTCCATTGTTAAATCCACAGGGACTGCTCTAACAATACTCTTTTAATTCTTTTTCTTTTCTCACCCCCCCCCCCCCCCCACACACACAAACATACACCCCCCCCCAAAAAAAAAAACCCAACCAAAACCCCCCCAGTTATTTGTAACAAAACTTTCACTGCAAATAACATTTGTTCTGGGATACCATAAGCCACTTGTTCTATTTGACTAAAACTACAAGTAATACCAAATTCATACAGAGTGTATGTGTATAATGAATGTAGTAAAGAAGCAAGATGGATAATAGTATCAAACTTCACAAGGGCATAATATGCTGTGGATACAAAGAAAGCCAGGAGCAAGCAATAAACTTTCAATAATTCTGCACAATTTATTCTGTAGGCTTTTTTCCCTCAAACAAATCTTTCTTAGAGAAACTAACTTTTGAAAATCTAAAACGTGATGGAAAAGAGAAGGCTGAAATGAAGAAACATTCTATCTGATATCACTGACCAAAACTAGACACCCTATTCTCTTAAACGCCTCAGAAGGGCAGAGACATGAACACAGTTCAAATTAACAATCCACCAAGGGGAGAAGATGTATAATACTTTGTGGTCACTCGAACAACATGCAAAATCAGTTTTTCCAATACAGCTTCCTCTTGACTATGACAAAAAGACTACATATTATACATCAATTCTTTATCACAGCCTCTACCTTAGACCATCAAGGTGTGATTTTAAAAAAGATAATGCAATTGTTCGTTTCGGACAACATCCTTGTTAGTGTTACATCATTGAATGAGATAGGTATCCACAACCACATTTTCTAAAAATCAACAACCAAATGCAAACTGGTATTCAAATCAACAAAAAATCAATTGAGTCAGCAAATGAGCCATGCAACTGCCAAGACAATGTAAAAACTGTAAAACTATTACAGAACAATGTTCCACTGCAAATAAACGGATATAAGAAAACTCTAATATTTAAATGTCAATGATGATAAAGCTTGAAAGAGTTAAGAAGCCAAAACACTTCATTTGCAACACAGGCTTACTTTTACAGACGATTCTATTGAGCGCCTTGCCTGGGAATGGGATGGATTTATTCTGAGTTTCTATTTCAAAAATTCGAAAAACAACCAAAAAGAAATTAAGATTGCCACACCATCCCCATCCATCCAAAAATAAAAAGCAAGGTAAATAAGATAATAGCCAAAATAAAAATGTCATAAAACTTTTGCTTTTAGAACTTCAAAAGACTCGGCCTGTAACTTTTATAAATTACAAATTTATCTAATTCAATTTTCATTCCATACAGGCCTACACGTTGAAAAAAACATTGTCCACTACAACAATAATCATTTGACAGAAGCTCTTTGAATGAGACCTGACTTTGAATGATCCAATAAAACTCCTTAAAGCAAGTAAATCACAACTACTTTAAAAGTAGCAATCAAGCGAGGGAAAAGGATGAAGAAAAACAATTAAACTCATAATGGGAAAGGATTCCCTGTTTCATAAGAAAAAGAAAATGAGGAAAAACACAGGGCCTGTAAAGCAATTAAATCAATTGTCTTCTAAAGATGAACCCCCCCTGAAGCTGGAATGTCTTTTAAACTTTGGAGATGGTGTCAATTAAGTGATGACTACATTTCATGAAGAAGAACCAAAGAAGTTATGAGTCTCGAAAAAAATAAAAAAATATCTTTCTTCTATTGAGCATGCTTAGCTTTAAAAATCTGTTTGATAGAATATAATCTTTTAAGCTCTCATCACAAAAAAAGGATGTGATAAAAAAAATATTACATCCAACAGGTAATATGCACAGGACATCAAATACAACAGAAGGTTCATCCCTCTGTAGATATGAAATTCAATACAAAGTATGAAGTAAAGAACTTCACAATCCTAGCTCTCACATCATGCGTTCACACATATCCTATCATGATAATTGTCTCTGCTAAGAAAAAACACTGGGGTAAGGGGTAGGCATGACTTTTAAAGCAAAAGTGACTTAGAGGAGATGGAAAGCGTAGCATCGTAACGAAAACTAAAATAACGATGGTTGTAATGATAATAATAATAGTGTGTGTGTGTGTGTGTGTGTGTGTGTGTGTGTGTGTGTGTGTGTGTGTG